AGGGTTTTAGTCCGTAGGGCAACACATAGAACAACAATCATACCATAGGCTAGCTTCTAGGGTTTAGCCTCTGCGATCTCGTGGTAGATCTACTCTTGTACTACCCATATCATCAATATTAATCAAGCAAGACGTAGGGTTTTACCTCCATCAAGAGGGCCCGAACCTAGGTAAAACTTCGTGTCCCTTGCCTCCTGTTACCATCCGGCCTAGACGCACAGTTCGGGACCCCCTACCCGAGATCTGCCGGTTTTGACACCGACACCCCCCTTCCTTCCTCTCTCCCTCCTCTTTCCCCGTCCCAAGTCCTAATCCAACTAGGAAAGGGGGGAGTCCTACTCCCGGTGGGAGTAGGACTCCTGCTGGTGCGCCCTCTCTCCTGGCCGGCCGCACCCCCCCTTGCTCATTTATATACGGGGGAAGGGGGCAGCCTAGAGACACAACAATTGATCAGTTGATCTTTTAGCCGTGTGCGGTGCCCCCCTCCACCATAGTCCACCTCGATAATACTGTAGCGGTGCTTAGGTGAAGCCCTGCGTCGGTAGAACATCATCATCATCACCACGCCGTCGTGCTGACGAAACTCTCCCTCAACACTCGGCTGGATCGGAGTTCGAGGGACGTCATCGGGCTGAACGTGTGCTGAACTCGGAGGTGTCATGCGTTCGGTACTTGATCGGTCGGATCGTAAAGACGTACGACTACATCAACGCATTGTGCTAACGCTTCTGCTTTCGATCTATGAGGGTACGTGGACAACACTCTCCCCTCTCGTTGTTATGCATCACCATGATCTTGTGTGTGCGTAGGAAATTTTTGAAATTACTACGTTTCCCAACAATAACATCACATCATGTCCTGCAAAAACAAGTTAGACGTCCTCTACTTTGTTGTTGCAAGTTTTACGTGGCTGCTATGGGATTCTAGTGAGAATCGTTCTTACCTACGCATCAAACCACAATGATGATTTATCAAGTTTGCTATTTTATCGTTCAACAAGGACCAGCTGCAGTCAAATTCAATTTAACTAAAGTTGGGGAAACAGACACCCGCCAGCCACCTTTATGCAAAACAAGTTGCATGTCTGTCGGTGGAACCGGTCTCATGAACGTGGTCATGTAAGGTTGGTCCGGGCCGCTTCATCCAACAATACCGCTGAATCAAAATGAGACGTTGGTGGTAAGTAGTATGACTATCACCGCCCATAACTCTTTGTGTTCTACTCGTGCATATCATCTACGCATAGACCTGGCTCGGATGCCACTGTTGGGGAACGTAGCATGCAATTTAAAAAAAATCCTATGATCACGCAAGATCTATCTAGGATATGCATAACAACGACAGGGGAAGAGTGTGTCCACATACCCTCGTAGACCGATAGCGGAAGCGTTTGACAACGTGGTTGATGTAGTCGAACTTCTTATCGTTCCGACCGATAAAGCACCGAACGTACGACACCTCCGAGTTCTGCAGACGTTCAGCTCGATGACGTCCCTCGAACTCATGATCTTGCAAAGTGTCGAGGGAGAGTTCCGTCAGCACGACGGCATGGTGACGGTGATGGTGAAGTGATCCGCGCATGGCATCGCCGAAGCACTACGAAGATATGGCCGGAGGCGTAAACTGTGGAGGGGAGTGCCGCACACAGCTAACAATTGTTGGTGTGTGTTCTAGCGGTGTCCCCTTCATATATATATATATGTTGGAGGGGAGGAGAGGCAGCCAAGGGGGTGTCCCAAGTAGGAGGAATCCTACTTGGGTTCCTCCCAATTTGGCCTCCCCCCTTTCCTATTCCTATTCGGAGTAGGAAGGGAAGAGGGGAAGGGGGAATCCTATTCCTTTTTTCCTTTCCTCCTTCCCCTTCTCTACTCCAATTTGTCCAGCCCATATGGGAGGGGCGCACCAGCCCCTTAGGGGCTGGCCTGTCCCCCTCTTGGCCCATTAAGGCCCATGTAGTTGCCGAGGGGATGTCTGGAACCGCTTTCGGTGACCCAATATGCACCCGGTACCCCCGGAACACTTCCGGTGTCCGAATATCATCGTCCAATATATGAATCTTTACCTCTCAACCATTTCGAGACTCCTCATTATGTCCGTGATCTCATTGAGGACTCCGAACAGCATTCGGTCACCAAATCACATAACTCATATAATACAAAATCATCATCGAACGTTAAGCGTGCGGACCCTACGGGTTCGAGAACTATGTAGACATGACCGAGACACCTCTACGGTCAATAACCAACAGTGGAACCTGGATGCTCATATTGGTTCCGACATATTCTACGAAGATCCTTATCGGTCGTACCGCAATGACAACATATGCTATTCCTTTTGTCATCGGTATGTTACTTGCCCGAGATTCGATCATCGGTATCTTCATACCTAGTTCAATCTCGTTACCGGCAAGTCTCTTTACTTGTTCTGTAATTCATTATCCCGTAACTAACTCATTAGTCACATTGCTTGCAGGGCTTATTATGATGTGCATTACCGAGAAGGCCCAGAGATACCTCTTCGATACTCAGAATGACAAATCCTAATCTCGATCTATGCCAACCCAACAAACACCTTTGGAGATACATGTAGAGCATCTTTATAATCACCCAGTTACGTTGTGACATTTGATAGCACAAGGTATTCCTCCGGTATTCGGGAGTTGCATAATCTCATAGTCAAAGGAATATGTATAAGTCATGAAGAAAGCAATAGTAATAAAACTTAACGATCACTATGCTAAGCTAACAGATGGGTCTTGTCCATCACATCATTCTCCTAATGATGTGATCCCATTCATCAAATGAGAACACATGTCCATGGTTAGGAAACTTAACCATCTTTGATTAACGAGCTAGTCTAGTAGAGGCTTACTAGGGACACTGTGTTTTGTGTATGTATCGACACATGTATCAAGTTTTCGGCTAATACAATTCTAGCATGAATAATAAACATTTATCATGATATAAGATAACAACTTTATTATTGCCTCTTGGGCATATTTCCTTCACCTTCACCCCCTTGGTGGTCGGCACTCGGCCATTCGAGTTTCGCTGTACAATGATGATGCGGTGGTTTTTTGTGCCCCTATCAAGGAATATTTCCTATTCCTCACCGCTGCTCTTGCCTCCTTTGGGGAGGCACGAGCCTGATCACCAACCATGCTAAGAGTCTGGTTGCGCTAATCCGGTGAGAGTGTATTGATCTTGATGACATCCTGCACCCCTTCTCGTCCTACCATTCCTCCTTCCCCATCCGCTATCTAGGTTTGCCATTTGCGATGAGAAGATTAAGAAGGGTTCAGCTGCAACACTTAGAATATAAAGCTATCGGGAAGCTTGAACCTTGGAGTTGGGTACTCACGGTTGTGGCCATCTATCACCTAACCCCGCTTGACCGTCCGGTGGAGGTGCTTAAGAAGATTGACTCCTTGCGGCGTGCCTACTTTGGGTTGGCACTGACATGGCGCCGACAGCAAGTGCAAAATCAATTAGGAGTTAGTATGCATGCCTAAGGAGTTTGTGGGCCTTGGAATTCTTAACCTTGGGAAGTTTGCTCTTGCGTTACGTTTAAGACGGTTATGACTTTGAATGTGATGACCCACCAAGAGCTTAGATTGACATGGGAACTCCATGCAACAACAAGGACAGAGACCTCTCTGCGGCGGTCACAAAGGCTACAATCGGTGAAGGTACAACTGCGAGATTCTCGGAGTCATCCTAGCTCGAGGGGATGAGGCCAAAGACATTGCACCAAATTCTTCTGAGACAAGGCTATGAAGCAAACCACTTGGTTTAATCACACCAATACCCCAACAGGGGATGACACTCGTCCACATCTAGCAATTTGTCACCCCCCCCCCCCGGGATAAATTGGCCAATTCCAACCTGCAACTTGGAGTTCAAGATTCTATCATCTGGAAGCTCACTATGGATGGGACCTATACCGCAACATCGGCATACAATGCACAATTCATTGGTCTTGTTCGTTCAAACTTACAAACCATGGTTTGGAAGGTTTGGTGACCCCTAAAGTGCAAATTTTTTGCTTCCTTAGTTACCCAGAACAGGATCCGGACGGCAGATAGACTTCAGTGACAAGGATGACCCGACTGTGATTAATGCCCTCTCTGTAAGCAAGTGCAAGAAACGGCGGCACATCTCTTGTTGAAGTGCCGGTTCGCGACTCGATTTTGGAAGGATGTGTTCTCCTGGTTAAACCTTCAAATTGATACGACGACATGGCAGGACTTCCCGCGGGTAAAGCTTGTTGGCAAGGAACAATCAATAGCACCAACAAACAAAGGCCCTCTCATCTTTAATCCACCTTGTTGGATGGGAGATTTGAAAAGAAAGAAGCATGCGTCTTTAGAAATAATAAAGTGGCACTGGTGGTGGTGATACTTATGCTAATGAAGGACGAGGCGTAGCTTTGGGTTTTTGCTGGGGTCAAGCACTTGAGTAATTTAATACCGTGAGAGTAATTCGTTAGCTTTGTGCCGCTCTGAGGCATGTAATCCTTCAAACCTCTTTCTTAATCAGTAAAAATGACAAGTCTTTTGTCTTGTTTGTAAAAAATAAAAATAGAAAGTGTATAAGCGCGTATGCACAGACGCATGACCGTAATGCTGCATTCTGCGTCCATGGGAAAACAAGTCAAGAGGCTCAGTTTACAATGCGAATCATATTACCCAATCGGCGTTACCAACGGCGAGCTATGGTGGTGAAGGCCATTATCTTACTTACACGCAAATGTAACATATGACCGAATGCCTACGAATGCACGAGTATATATACGTACTCTAGGTACCTGTCTGCACCATAACCGCAAGCAACCTTTCTTCTTGTCAATTCGCTGGTAGGGGCAAACCCATACTAATTTCTGCATCCGCATCTCTCGTTACATCAACAATTAGTATATATAATACTAAAATACATGTACTTTTTGGTTCGTATTTTGCAGCCAGAGGTTGGAAGAGGTTGCATCGATCGATGGGGAGGGCCATGGCCGTCGGTGGTGCTGGTGCAAGTGACGACCTGAAGTCGTCGTGGCCGGAGGTGGTGGGCTGGGACGGTTTCACGGCGTCGCTCAAGATCAAAGCCGACAGGATGGATGTTTATATAGAGTTGCACACCGTCGGCGATGCCGTGGCGCCGGGCGAGGACGACCACCGCGTCCGCCTCTTTGGCGACCGTGTCACCGGCCTGGTCGCCCAGACGCCTGTGGTCGGCTAGCCGGCCTATCCTGCTTGTGTGTGTGTTCCCGTTTACGTGTGCGTACGCGTGTTGTGTGATGCACCTACCACCTACACTCCTATACCAGTATACCACCGCTATAAGATGTGTACTAAGTATATCCCACTAAAATGAAATAAGAGCCATCCGTCTCATGTGTCATATAACATACATATTGCTAGAGGATAACTTGGGATTGCCATCTTTCTCTAGCAGGTTATTCTGTTGGTTGTTACGTTTAATCTGACAGAGGAACTGGGCTGGTAATACTAGATGCTGCTTTTGTGATTAAAATGAACTGATTAAACACCTCTTTTTTGAGTGTCCTCCTGCGAAATTATTATGGCGATCAATACATATTGCTTTAAACATACACCTTCATACGAGCATAAACACGTTATTTGGGGCGTGGCTCGATGTAGTGGACAGTCACATAGCCAAACATATTCGGATTGGAATATGTGCTTTATTTTGGGCTATTTTGAATACTAGAAATGATTTGATTTTTAATAGAACAACATTCACTAATTTTTTACGGGTTATCTATAAAGCTACAGCCTGAATCCGTATGTGGTCATTACTAACTCATGCGGACTTCAGGGAGCTTTTGGCTATTGGGTGCAACCGTTAGGAGATGATAGCACGGGCAATCTTCAGCCGATTTAGATGACAAGCTAATAATAGGCTAAGTGTGTAGACATCTTAGTCTATTCTTTATCGCCGAATGTGACACTTTTCCCTTTGTGTTTCGTTTTAAGCTCGTATTATGAGCTTTTCTAGACCTTGAGACTTTGTTATGCTTTTATTTAACAATATGGCTGCTTGCATCCATTGATGCAGAGGCCAGAGGTTATCCTCCTTTTCAAAACGTTTTAGTTTTACTTGGGTTTGTTGGGTTTTAATTATGTTCTGTAGGTTTCCTTTTTCCCGTTCATATATTGTGTTGGGTGCTGCTAAAGACAATAGTTTTTCTGATAGGAGAGTGAAGTTGTTTGATGTGTGTTTGTGATGTCTTACGTATTTCAGTATTGATGTGAGTCGGTGGTCGTTGCATGAGCCACGTAGGAGCTCCTATTCTGCATTGAAATCATAAAATTGTTACTATAACGTTCACATGGGTTGGTCCACTAAGATCCGGCCACTTAGCTCGGCTCCCTCTTCCACTAGCTCGCTGAGCATTTTTCGCCACTCACTCCACTCCTATCTTATAAAAAATTGGCTATCATTTAATATTTTGAAAAGGTTCCTTAAATCAAAAGATATTCATGGATTTTCAAAAATCATCCATTTAAAAAATGTTGCAAATTAAAAACATAGATTTTACAAAAAAATATATTCACAATTTTTAAAAAATCACAAACTTTTAAAATGTTCATGAACTTTCAGAATATTCATCAATTTAAAAATACTAATTATTTTTGAAAATTTTACTAAATAATTTTTAGAAATATTTGATTGTTTTTAAAAAAAATCACATTTTTAAGATGTTCATATATTTTAAAAAACTTTCAAAAAAGTTAAAAGGATAAAAAAGAAAAAAAAGAGAAGGTAAAACAAACATGCACCCTCAACTAATGACACACACTCTTACTGCTGAGATATTCCTGCAAATATCAATGCATAATGTAAGATATTACATCATAGATTGGTGTATCCTCTTTTGATTCCATCGGAATAAATTTCTCAATTCTTTTGAAAATTGAAAAACAATGTTAATATTTTAGTACCATGTAGACTTGAATTCTTAAGATCCTTTCAACATAGCTCATATCATTTGCTGGCGTGGAATCAAAAGTAATTTTACAAGTGACTCATTTGTGCTACATTTTAGAAGAAGAAAAACCCATTCTTTAATGCAAGTACTGAAATTTTTTAATACTTTTGACTTTCATGTTGCATGTTAACAATTCTCCGGTGCTAACTACTCTAGTTTTCAAACCCCATAGGTATCAAACTACATAACAATGCATTCATATGTTTTCATCTGTCACGTCCTTTGGGTTTTTCAACCAAAGCATTCCTTTGTATTCATGTGTTGTGCAACAATTTTATGCTCACTATAATTTTTTTATCGTATACACTATTGGAATCAGCTTTCTTTGCCGTCCGCCAGGTCTTTGTTGTCCGCCAGCTGACGGCAAAGAGCCTCTTTGCCGTCCGCTTCCACAAAGCGGACGGCAAAGAAAGGGCAGATGGCAAAAATGCTATTTGCCGTCAGCCGCTTCTTTGCCGTCGGCTAGCTGACGGCAAAGAGCCAGGTGGGCCCCACAGGGCATGGCGTGGCTAGGTCAGATTCTTTGCCGTCCGGCAAAAGAGGTGATTAATTTGCCGTCTGCTGGCAGACGGCAATGTTAGTCCTTTGCCGTCTGCTTGCGGACGTCAAAGAGGAGATGTGGGCCAGCCCTAACGGTGGCCCTCGTTGCCGTCTGCTAACGGGCGGCAAAGAAGGCCCACTTAACGGGCCAAGCCGTCTCCCCCCCCTCTCTCTCCCTCCCTCCCTCCCGTGCGCCCGCCTCTCTCCTCTGTCGCCGCCGCCGGCCATCCCCGCCCCGTCGCCCCGTCGCGCCGCGTCGCCGGAGTGGCCTGCGCCGGGCCGCCCCGATGCCGGACCCGTCCCGAGGTCCCTGCGCCGCCCCGCCCTGCTGTCGTCCTCCTCCCCACGGCCCCTGCGCCGCCCCGCCCAACCGGCCGACCTCGCCGGAGCAAGAGGTATTTTTTTAACGTTTTTTCCTGTTTTTTTGTTCTCTATTTTCTTGATTTGTTTTAGGTTAGTGCTAGGTTTAATTAGGTGTAGTTTTGAGTTTTTAGGTTTAGGTTAGTGCTAGGTTTAGGTGTAGTTTTGAGTTTTTAGGTTTAGGTTAGTGCTAGGTTTAAGAAGAGGAAAAAGAAGAAGAAGAAGAAGAAGAAGAAGAAGAAGAAGAAGAAGAAGAAGAAGAAGAAGAAGACGAAGAAGAAGAAGAAGAAAAGGAAAAAAGAAAAAGAAGAAGAAGAATAAAAATGTCGATGGTACCCTAAATAGCAAGTATCGTCAGTGCGAGGTACATGTGGCCATCGGTGTCGAATACTACATCCACGTCCCACAAGTGACACAGGGTCCTGCGTCTAGTAGCAACAGTTCTCGGCGTCGATGGCGGTCGAACACCATTGCAAATTTGTCTGGCAGCCTCAGAGATGACGATTGAAAGCTAAGTGTTGAAACTTGAAACACCCAAACTAACTCAAGTCGGTTTGGTTGTTTGAAATTTCAAAACTTGTCTTTAATCCTCATCGCAGAGGCTGCCAGACAAATTCGCCAAGGTGTTCGACTGTGATCGGCCACCAGAACTATTGTTGCGGGACGCCGGGCGCCGGCTTCACTTGTGGGATGTGGATCTAGTGTTCAATGCCGACCGCCTCATGTACCTTGCACCGATGGTAGTTGCTATTTAGTTTAACCAGGGACGAGCGGGTTAGAGGGTTCCTCGGTGTCGATGGTACCGTAAATAGCAAGTATCGTCAGTGCGAGGTATATGTGACCGTCGGTGTCGGATACTTGCTATGTTACTCATCTTTCGATTTAAATATGCAGGTATTTCGTCGCTGCGAGGGTCTAGTGTTCGACGAGCTCCGCCCCTGCGTTCGTTGGTGAGCACAAATGACATCTCCTCCTCCTCCCCTTCATTTGCTTTGTTCCGGTCTTCATGCCGATGAAACTTGCTAGCTATAGGTGTCAATCATCAGTATGCGTAACCACTATGCGTCTCCCGTTCGAAAGGGTTACATCTATAAATATGCATGCATTTGCATATTTATAATCGTGATTCTTTCGAATTGTCCAACATTATCCATGGACAGCCCGAGTATGTGTAGATTGGGTTCGTTTTCCCATATGCTCAGCTCCGGATCCGATGCAGAATTTCGTCAGTGCCTCCCTGTTGTTCTCCAGGTACACATTCTCTCTGCTTATTGCCGAGACATGTATCAGGAGAACAGCGGGGAGGTGCTGCCGAAATTTTGCGTCGGATACGGAGCAGAGCATGGGAAAACGAACCCAATCTACACATACTCGGGTGGGATTAGGACCTATCTTTACCTATTAGCGTGTAGGTTGCATGGACGTAATAAAACTAACAAACTCCATTAATTGATGGATATGGTTTGCTTAATTATGTATATATTTCTTGTGTGCCCAGTAGGAAGTCAATATGAGTGATCGTGCATGGATGTACACCGGTTACACTAGTCAGAAAGTTTGGACCGAGGAATGGTTAACAAAAACCAAGGAGTTTGTTAAAGCCGCATTTGCAAATGGCCAGGAATTTAGCTGGTGCCCCTGTGCCATTGCGACAACTATAAAAAGAGGAACGAGCTTGAAATGAGTAAAGACCTGCAGAAGTTTGGTTTTACGCCTGGTTACACGGTCTGGACATTACATGGTGAGTCTGCCCAACATGCCAGAGCTGAGGTTCGTCGTCGCACCGACGAGCATGGTATCGGGACCGCAGACATGGTGCAAGACTTTGACGATGCTCGGGACTCGGACGAGGAGATGGAGGAATCTGCAAAGGCCTTCACTGAAATGTTGGAGTCCTCAAAACGTCCTCTCCACGAGCACACTAAGCTTTGTCAACTGGATGCCATCTCACAAATAATGACTTTGAAGGCTCAATTCAACTTGGGCAGATAATGCTACGACGCGATGATGATAGTATTCAGTCGATTTCTACCCAAAGGCCACGTGCTACCTCCAAACCTGTACCAGTCAGACAAAATCCTCTGTGCTCTTAAGATGCCCTATGAGAAGATACATGCATGTGAGAAATTATGTGTCTTATTTAGGCTTCAGTATAAGGACTTGAACTATTGTCCCATTTGCAGTTCTTTCAGGTATGTTGTGGTAGGCAACGATATGGGTGAGAAGACGCGGACCAAAATACCCGTTAATGTTCTTCGGTATATGCCAATCGTACCAAGACTTCAACGTCTTTTCATGGTAGAAGAGACGGCCAGATAGATGACAT